TTTATACTTATCCTTTTCATGACATTTATTGCTTGTACTGTATGTTAAGAGACAGTATACAAAAACAGGGAAATAATTGCAGCTGCTCTGAAAACCCTAATAATTTCAAGAAGCGACAGTATGCAACAGTACACAAAAGTTTTACTCATCAGCATAGAACTGACCCTTCACAAACTGAATACAAGGGACTTTCATCCAATCAGACATACACTTTTTATATTTTGTTTTGATTAAATTATTTATTTTCATTGCACCTATACAATCATTTATCAATAAATCATTACACTGGCGATGCTACAAACAATTGTGCTCATCTAGACTGTACAGACAACAAATTTAAAATTCAAATTTAATATGACTGACTTAAGGGTAATACAGCGACATAGGTGATTCCATACCATTCATTATCATATGTGGAAAAGTATAGAGATCATTTTATATAAAAAATTCCAAGTATGAGATAAATACTTAGTTCTACTTTACAGTTAATTGGACATAAACGCCACAATGTTTCAAAACACGACAATTCATGACTATATAAGGGGATTCATACATGCAAAAAATTTGTAATCAATACCCATCTATGAAGCATGGCAGATTAAAATACTCGTCAACCAAATTCAACGAGATATACATAAGTTTACAAAAATCTCCTTCAATGTACACAGACCAAAAAATTAACACTGACAACAATAATGATACCCCAAAAAACATGGCCAAAACTCTGGCCCTAAATATTGTCATACAGCACGCACAAAAAACAACTTGAGCCATGTTTGACTGTAAAATACTCTCATACCTATAAAAAGGAAATAATCTTTATCATGAATGTAAATTCTATATAAAATCTGTCTGATACTGTAACATCGTCTCATGGTGCGCTGTGTATTTTCAGCAAGTCTACACTAGGACTATAACTCGTTCCTCATTCCAGTATGTTCCCATTTTATGACATTTGTGGAATTCTCCTTTTTTAAAACTCTTTAAATCCCAAAATATTAGCCAAAACACTTCTCCTAACCCTTTTTGCACGACTTCCCACAAGTGAGGATGCAATGGGAACATAACCTTTCTGGATTTGAGGTCATGCTGTGACGCAAGGAGCTTTGTTACACCAAAGTTCCCGTTCACCAAACGTCCAAGCCCAATATGATTATCTCTACTGCTATACAAATGTACAGAGCTCGGTGTGTCGAGTGGGCTTTTCAACATTTACTTTTCATTTTCAGCTTGTGCTTATGACTGAAAACCTTTACTTATATGATGCTGAAAAATCCACTCTCAGACTAAATAAAGTGGGAATAGGTAATGTACTTTATTTACAATGGCCTGAGTCTGAGCCAAGATATAACTATTTACACTGTTTGGCTAGTTCAAGTGGCAAACATCAGATCAGATCAATAAATGGCTGCAAAAGCATTTATCTCTCTGAATACCAATATATTCTAAGTAGCAATATGATTTCTATTAAACTTTCTAAAAACTTACAAACACTATCACAAGCTATCAATTACGATCTACTGAAGTTCATGACTGAATTCACTTGAAATGTATCACACTACAAATGCAATCGTGAAAGGCTGCACATGGCACTTGTAAACGGAAAATGGAACTTTCATTTCAATTTTCAATTCACTATTTGTTTTAAGAGATATATAAATGTAGAAATTCAATAATTTTTTTCACAGGTTTCATAATATATTACAGAAACTGCTGGTGATTGTGGACTATTTTTTTTCTGCTCATGATATAATCCACAATAAAATCACATCTTATAAAGTCTGTGCAAGATGGACATTCACTTTTTCTGGAACTATAATTACACTGAGTATACTTTTCACATATACTCTACTTATAATTCCAAGTTCATCTTTGACAGAATTATGCTTCTCAAAATAGAAGTTAAAAATGTGGAAAAGAAACTAGAGTTGTCTTTTTTCAAGGCTGGCTTAGTATTTGCATTTTTGCTTTACATGTTGTATGCAACATATATAGGGTCGAGCTGGTCTGCCAGGAAACCATCCCGTAGGTGCATGCGCTGCTTCTCTCCACGAGAGTTGATGGGCACTACACCTGGGTCGACCACAACAATGACACCAACAATGATTTGGTGCTCCTCAAGGACGGATGAGGTGATGAGTGGCACGAGGTCTAAAGCTTCATACTCAGCCCCATCCAGCTCTACAACCACCACTAACAAATTTGTCCAGCTGAATACAGCACATTCTGAGATCTTCTTGTGGCATCGCATCACCGTCATCTCAATATCAATTGGGTGGTATCGCATTCCTCTCAAAATAACTGTCTCATCTAATGCCCCGACAACAAACACTGCATCATGAAGCTCTCCGTCTGCTTGAACAGATTCAGTGCGACGAAGGAAACCTAAGTAACCTGTACGAGCATAGACTTCCCCTGTGTTGCCAGTGACAAGTTGTGCATTAAAGTGGTCATTTGCTGTTCCGTCATCACCATACACAGTAAAGTAACCACTAGCATTATGGTTACACTGAACCCAAATTTCACCTAGGTGTGAGTCTGAGCACTGCCCTTTGGTGTCAGGATTGGCAATGACAACTTTAACTCCAGGCAAAAGCTTTCCAGACTCCATGATGCACAGTGAATGTGGAGCACCCCTCTCTACCAGTGTTACTCTGTCATGACGAAGGGACCTAAGGTCCACAAACACTGTTGTTGGGTCTGGTGATGAGGCTCCTTGGAGGCAAATTGCCACATTAACACGGCAGCCAAAGCTTGTGGATACCGCTCTTGGTGACAGCCCTAATCCACTGAAAAGCTTGGAGAATGAATTGGTAAGCTGCACCCTTGGTCTTTCTTCTGCTACAACCACGCACGTTCTTACACATGCTAAATTGACACTGCGCTGTTTAAGAAGGGCAATTGAGGAACCAAGGCCCTTTGTGCACAATTCCATTACTCCATATGAACAGAAGGTGTCACGCACTTTGTACTGGGAGACAGCTGATAACCATAGGGAGGGATTTAATTCAACCTGCAAATGGAAAAAAAATTATAGTAATATTTGATTTAAAATTATAGTACATTAAAGAAATATCTTTTTTCTTTTAATCATCAAAGGATAATTTAGTTTAACATATTCACAAAAAAAATAAAAGAACATTATAGAATATATAAATCTCTTCCATTATTACCTCGCCAGGAGGGATGAGGATGGACTGATGTCCAGAGTAAACAGATGAAAGGACCCACAAAGCCAGGCCAAGACCACAGTATGGATCCAGACACAGTGCCACCACACGGGATGGGTAGAGTTCACAAGCAACCTGGTAAGTAGATTCAGCTGTTAGTAAAAATTACATGAACTTTTGATGAATAAACCACAAGAAAGAAACATCTTAAAAACAGCTACTGAGACATAAACGAACCTTCATACTGAGGCAGAGAGAGGTGGCAGCACCATGAGACATCTTGATACCAGCCAGCATTCCCGTTGTTGAGACACTAAAGTCAAGATAGGCAATCATTTCTGGTGTTGGAGCCTTGTAGATTGATGGCAAGCGCTTCTTTGGCAGATCATCCGTGTCAAGAATCGGAGCCCACTTCTTTCCACTGTCAAACTTTTCCTCCTAATGTCGAAAGAATCTCCGTTATACATGGATGATCATAATGGTAAATGATTATAGAAATAATTTTTAAAGTATTATCATATTTACTTCATGCATGCAAAAAAATAAAATCTTACCTTGCTTTTGAGCAATTTAATTACTGATAAAGTAGACAATATAAGTGAGGACTTCGACACTTCTACAACAGTCCTAACAGTGTTGACAGTTGACTGAAGGTTCTGTGGGTGTGGAGGGCGGATGGTCACTGGGACAGCACCCACGTACAAGCATCCATAGAAGGCTGCTATAAGATCCACCCCTGGAGGGTAAATCAGGGCAACATGGTCACCAGTGTTAATGTGTCCCTTCTCTAGCAGCAAGACACCCACACGCTCAGCCTTTTTATGGAGCTGAGCACAGGTTAGTGAGGTAGCAACTTGTCCCTTTGAGTTGAGAAGGGTAAGAATTTCATGGTTTTCTGTAGTTGTAGCTCGCCATTTGAGGATGTCGGCTATGAACTGAGGATGCTGCAAAACAGAAAAGTATTATATTACCTTTTTTGTTTTCATAAAATTTCATAAAAGAAAATAATTTTTTAGGCTTTTCCTTGTCATCAACCTTTCAAAAAGCTTTCTTAACACAGATCGATATTTTAAAAATAAAAAACCTTACCCTTCTTGTTCCATCTTCATCATCCATGAGTCCCATGTCTCGTCCCTGTGCGCTTGCTAGCCTGTTCCCCTGCACCAAGTTGCCTACCATCACACTAGCTGGTCCGACATCTATCAGTGAGAAGGTGAATGATTACCAAAATGAAAAGAACATAATCAAAAGAAATTAACACCTGCATGCACAGGCACACACACCAACACCCACTACCACACCCTGCACACAGATGTTGGAAAAGAGGTCAAACTGGCACTCTCACAGTTCAGAGGTTCTGCCAAACAAAAACAGTGAGCCCATTATATTTTTATATAAATATACACACTATACCTGATGGTGTATAAGACACATGTCTTCCCTCAGGGGGGATCAAAAGTCACTCTGGGTCTTATATATGAAAGTGCAGACAAGTTTAACCCTGAATATACCCTATTAAGTGACTGTGTGTCCTATATGCCGTCAAATATGGTGTGTGTGTGTGTGTGTGTGTGTGTGTGTGTGTGTGTGTGTGTGTGTGTGTGTGTGTGTGTGTGTGTTTTCATGTGTATTTGTGAGTGTATTTGTGTTTGCGAGTGTGTTCCTGGGTCTTATTGCGTTTGTGTGTGTTTGTGTGTTTGTGTGTTTGTGTGTTTGTTTGTTTGTTTGTTTGTTTGTTTGTTTGTATGTGTGTGTCTATGCGTGTGTGTGTGTGTGTGTGTGTGTGTGTGTGTGTGTGTGTGTGTGTGTGTGTGTGTGTGTGTGTGTGTGTGTGTGTGTGTGTGTGTGTGTGTGTGTGTGTTTGTGTTTATTTTGTATTTTGTATGGAATGTTACAAGAGTTTCAAAGGATTTTTAATGTGATTATTAGTATCATTATCTTTACCATAAAAAGTTTGAGTACATCAATTTTAATATTTTTTTCATAGGTCTGGTAACTACTACATCAATGGCAATGAAGTATTGAAAACCAGAATTACATTATAACAATCACAATTATTACAAATAATGATAACAATAATCAGAATGCCACCACCACCGACAGTAAGTTGAATAGAGTATATTGCAGCAAAAGTTGCACAAATGAAAATGAATAACTCCATGAAGTAAGATGAATAATTTGAGGTCCTAAAAAGATCATCCTTCCTGATGGAGATCTGGATATGAAACATAAAGCTACATCGTATACTGCGGCTAGAACATATACTGCCATCTGGATGTTATTCATTCTCACTCAAACTTTTCTCATCCTCATGAACACATTAATCAATGACTTAATAATTGAAAGTAAGAAAACTGAAAAAAAAGAAAAAAAATCCCCTCCAACACCTAGGATGCATTCTCTATGCTTGATCTGTGTACTCAATGTGGTATGATACTCAAATATATTCCCTAATGTTCTTAATGATGATTCCTTTTTCAAAAACAGAAGTATAACCTTCAAGTGAAGTGATGTTTCTAAAAATAACTGTTTCCCAAGTTTATAAATATACGGTTTCAACGTTGGGAATACCCCTTAAGATGCTCCAGTGCCATACAACTTTCTGTTAATATCTGTAAACCTAACTTTTCCATTTTCTTTTCCCCGATATAATTTTTGTAGTTATACATTAAATGGGACTTAAGATAAAATGTGTACCTGGTAGTAGTATAGTAATAGTCTATCAATAACATTGGTCTAAAACATTTCTACGTCCAGAACTAATAGCAAAGTCAATTATAGATATAAAAAATACTTAACTATTATAGAACTGACTACTTAAACCTGAATATTTGCAGTCAGCAGAACAATGTGAATGTTTTACTTTAACAGCCATACTGTGCTTTTAAAACCCAAAATATTCCTAGTATAAAAATGGACCTAATAATCCTTATCTACTGAAATAAAATAGGTCTGACCTTCACATTTACTCTCTTGAAGCCTAGTGAATGCAATCCTTCATTTCCTATGTAACTACTGAATATTATCATCATTATTATTATTACCATTATTATTATCATTCATCAAAATATTATTATCATCATTTTGATAATTATTAGCAGTTTTATTTCAACAATATTATCAGTCTTAACATTAAATTACTTTTACTATTACTACTACAAATTACTTTTATGATCATCAACATATTACACTGAGCTACAATACTCATAACACTACAGATCATACATCTATGTAAGATGAAGAGAAAGAAGAAGAAAAGGCAATACAAAATAAACTTATAAGACAATGCTGATATTGGCCATTGTGTGTGTGTGCCATAAGCTCTCCACTCCCATCTTAACCGCTTGATACCAGGAGTGCATGTCTACTGTGGTTGTTTTATTAAGTCTGTTTACACATATATGGCTTCACAAGCACTTAGTCACCAAGTTGTCAATTATTCAGCCTACATCGTCTCACCTTTTAGACCCATTTCTTGAATATTTGGGAAGAAAAGTTTTATTTTCATTATCATCATTATCAATTTCACTATCATTGTCAACAACATTATAATAATTATGATAATAACATTAAACACAATAATAATGAGGAACTGAAATAACTTTTCTTTCCGAAAATTCCAGGAATGGGGTAAACAGGTCAGGTAAGCTTTAGTATTCAACTCCTTAGTGACTAAGTGCTTATGAGGTCCTCTATATGTGAAGAAAAAAAAATCACAATAAAGCCAATGAATCTGGTTTTATTGGGATAATTTTTTATTTATTTATTTTTTTAATCTAACTTCATTTAAGAAATATATATCTGCAGTCCAAGGACAATGCTGTCATACATATTGTGTGGAAAGGGTGTGAAATGAGTGGGAGGGAGGAAGGAAAGAAGGAAAGAGAAAAGAAGGAAGAGAGAAAGATTAAGAAAGAGAGAAGGAAGAGGAGAGGAATACAAGAAATGAGAGCTGGATGAGATGGAAAGAGAGATGGAAGAGGAGAGCAGGAGGGAAGAAAGAAGGAAGAGAAGAGATAATGGGGAAAAAGCAATGGAAGAATGGATAAAGAAAAGAAAGAGAAGGAAAATGATATAGAAAGGTAGGTGACAGAGTGAAAGCAGAGAGAAGGATATAGAAAGGGGAAAAGGAGTTCAAAAGGGTAGAAGAGAAAGTAGGGAGCAAGAAATGAAAAAAGAGGCAATTTATTTTTTTGTTACAGGGGGACATATTAGCTTTTAAAATGTATTTTAGGTGAAATCTGAACCTTTGGGAAGTTATTCATGAATTGCATATCATGGCTGATAATATATTACATATAACTTTTTCAATAGTTTACTGCACCCAAAACAGCATTATCAAGTTATAATAGCATTTCCCTTTCAATAAGAGCGAAAGTCAACAAAAGAAAACGAAAATAAGAAAGAGGCAAGAGAAAAACAAGTTCAAGTAGAGGCACTGCATAAGCAACATGAAAGGCAGTATCACTTTAGTACTTTTATCGTTCCTTCAGTCGGGTTATAATTTACTCTTAAGATGTCACCACAATGCTTAATGTGGGAAAAATATGCAAATTATTACATATTTCTTTGTTACTCTATAAAGCAAAATGAAATGAAATTTTGATTAGGATTATGCAAGTGATATGTTAACAGCAAAAATACTGTCTACATTACTAAATTTGGATTTTGGTAAATGTAATCAGCATTAAGCTAAAATATCTTGTACGAGTCAAAATGTCTATTTCCGTAGTCTGAAACCAGCACTTTCTTGATTCTACCTGAATTTTAGAAAAACCAAATGTAATACTGCCCTTAGTAAGCACAGCCTAGAGAGCACTATCAAAAAACATCACAACCAATTATGACAAAGTGCAAACAGAACCACAGGCATCATGCTCACTCAAGAAGAAGGTAAGGAAAACAAAATAATTACCTTCAGAGAGAAGACAGGAGATAATAATTGGTAGTACAGAAGTGCATGTACTGAGAAGGATAGAGATTTGGAAAGTGTACATCAAGAACTACATGGGAAATTCTTCTAGTACCAGCAACATCTTATCTTTGGCTGCCGGTGCAGCATTTGATTTCGAAACATCAATCAAACAGTTATGGAAACATTAATTAGTCTTAAATATGCATTAGATATATAGCATTTTAGACTTATCTCAGGTTTCACTGATGTGGAAAAGCTCCCTGAATTCCACAACTTGTAAATAATGCATTTAGCTTTCACACTCATTTAAATTTAACTTTTAAAAAATTAATTTAATTTACTTGTGATTATTATTTACTGATTTTTGTGTAAGAACAGCAAAACATTTATAGCAAAAGAAATTTCACCCCAGCTGGATCAAAACTAGAAGAATTCCTTTACACATCCAGCTACTGTTGTACCTTCTTCAATACATCTACACAAAACATTCTGGACTACAAAAATTTGAATATGAAAAAATGAAGGGATATCATTACAATTACCGTGATGAACCTCCCGTGGTTTGGGTAGGTTGGTGACGCAGGTGTGCGGGCACATTAGCACATTTGCCGGGTGCAATGACCCCTCAAGGAACTTCTTGCGTGTCTCAGACAAGTGGATTCCTCCAAGTGGTGTTTTGGGAAGATGGTTGGGAGGAACTAGAGCCAGACAGTAAATGCCAACTTGGTGGATACTGTCTACTGCCTGAAGAACTCGAGACATCCATTGGAAGCTCTGTGAAAAGAAGGTAAAGGTTTAGTAAATTATGGAAAGTTCCTTTCACTGGTAAAAGACATGGTTTATTAAATATCAACCTTTGTAAATAATAGTATGCATAGTATCTTATGCATCACTGAAAATAGTATGAAAAGACATTTTCACCAGACAAAATCCTGAAAATTGTAATTTACTATTCAAGATCCCCAAGCTGTTTGAAGATTATAACTTCATAGTTTTAAAAAATAATCAATTTACCAGACTGTAGTGCTATATTATAATGTTTCTAGCATGGAACCTTGATAAATATTGTATTCAAGTTGTAGTCCTTCACACTACAAAGAATATTACCATAAAAGATTTATAATGAAAGTTGTTATATGGATCTGATCTTAGTTATTAATTATGTCTGCCCATTCTAAATGTATTTATTAATCTAGTTTCATGATCTTGTGATTTTCATGTCTCTTTTTCATGGTACAATTAGTCTAATTATAAATTAACTCTAAAAAAAATAAAATAAAATGAAAAATAAATTAACAGATAGTCTTTACTAACCTCTTCTTCTGAACAGTCTGGTCTCTGTTCTGCTATAACACAGATCCTCTCATCTCTCAAAACTTTATGAGAGAAGACAGCAATACGGCCACGGTAAATGAATTTCATGGGTTCAACTGCCAGCACAGTAGCAATGATGTCATCTGTGTTGTGTTTACGTCCAGTGACAGTCATGAGCCCATCTCGTGATCCACACACAAACACAAGGCCACCCTGAAATTAACACATACATGTATACATATGTATATATATAAAAAAGTGATTGATAATACTCTGCATCTTTGTAAATATAAACATCACTACATTAAGAATAAAACAAAATGAAAATACTAAAAAAACTTACAGGTCCTAAAAATCCAAGAAGTCCGGTCCTGACATAAGATGACATTTCTGACATAGGAGTGCTGTCTGGAAGTAATGGCTGGACCTTGAATGTGTTGTTGGTCATACCCTGAAGTCCCCAGTACTGGTCACCCACTGCTCCTCCTGCCACACAAATTTCTCCAACTTCGTCTGTACGACAGACATAGGGCTGCCCATCCAATTTAATTACCACAATCATTGCTGTAAGGAGTAAAAAGTTTAGGATATGATCCAATGTTGCTCTTGAGAGTAAATCTGGTTTACAAAAATATTATACAAAGCTTATGTAGCATTTATCATCCCTTGTATAACACATTCAAGTTCTAAAAAAATTAAATGGGTTTTGATGTGGACTACGAACCTCCTGGTAACACTTGTCCACAGTCTTGCAGCGTGAGTGAAGTAAGGGAATTCTCCTGATCTACACGTACTACACCGTAGCTCAGACCCTGCATGCTTAATACTCCTCTGCCAACTGCATTGGCACCTCCATGGCCTGGTCTGTTAAAGAGAAAAAGGATACTTTCCATTATCATCAGTTACATTTATCATTGCAAGTAAGATAAATATTGTGTATTTCTTGTATGTGACTCAATCCCATGTAACTGTGCATTTAAAAACATATAGAAAAGCTTCCAAATACACACACATCCATCAGAGAGGCTGGTGCTTGCATGAAGGTACAAATTCAATTAAAATACTTTACCTCCTGACAGAGACAGTCAGAGCCTCAGGTGACGATGCACAAGGACAAATGGCATCTGGTCTCAATCCTTTACTTTGGAATACAGCAAGGAACTGATCACATGACGACAGTGACCAGGGATTGGCTCCATCAGCAACTAACAGAAGACGTAATGACTGAAGGCTGACATCCTTGTGATCTTTGGTGGCCAACAATCCCCAATGGAGGTCACGGGATTTGACAATAGCTATGCTTGCTGAAAGAGAATGAGTTACCTATTAATTATCCACACTCATTGCCAGTGGACATTCATATCTAATGGAAAACTTCTTTCACAGCCACTGAAGTATCATCAACTGAATTGAAATTACCTTTAAATCTAGTGATCATGTGCATCCATGAGGCAGGGTTGACCTTCATGACTGAGTAGGGAATGAAGATGACATGCATCCCATTGAAGACAGAACACAACATGGAGTGCCACAATCCAACCTGAAATGATAAGCAGGTATGAGTTCTATGACACCTTTATAAAATATTCAGAACAAGAATAGTTGTCTTTTTACTTCTGTTTCTATAATCATCTATAAAAATAAATGTTATTAACAAATACTGTAAACTAACCAATTTGAAATTATTGAAAAGTGTGAGTGCAGTGAAAACTTTGTGAAAATATTCCCAACCAAAAAAGATAGAAAAATATAGTTTCTGTAATCCTCAATATCATAACTATGTATTAATGTAAACTACAACTCACTTGATATAGGTATCATGATTTACTTTATAACTGATTTTTTAAAATGATTAATCTGAACTGTATTGTACAATAGTACTAAAAAATGTTATCTTTACCTCTCGTTTAAAGTCAAGGACACAAACTGCTACTTCTCCTTCAGTGTAATTGCATGCTGATGTTAATGTGCGGCAGTGTGCCAGCATTGCAGATCTAGTTACCACAACACCTTTGACAGATCCATCCTTGTCAGTAGAATACTGTCAGAAGACCAAAAATAAAAAAATATTAGCACATAACTTGAAATGCAGACATAAAGAAATTCAACACTAAGTAATATAAGTACTTCCATCTCCAGAAATTTGATACATAAAAATAATCAAATAATCATTACTATAGTGGTAGTAAATCCTCTGCCTACATACCTCAATATATGCTGGAGAGTCATCAGAGTGTCTTGGAGGTGTCTGCCATTCTTTGGGAGGTTTGGGCAGGTGGTCAGTAATGAACCATGTGAGTTTGGGCCAGCCTTTGAAAGACACTACCTCACCTGCACTGGTCTTTGGAATGCCTTTGAAGCAAGCCTCAGATGTAAGAGCTACAGAAACACCACAGCTTCCCAGCAAGAAACCAATCTGTTTACAAAGAAAAAATATCATAATGATGCATACAACATGTAGTTAGACAAGCTAACCACAGTACAAAAATCAAACAAAACAACTTTAAATAAAATCTGACAAAACAACCACCTACCTGTTGCGAGCCAGCATCTCGTCTTGAGAGCGGCACTTCAATGGGCACAGGAACAAGTCCAGCTTGTAGACATGCATAGAAAGCACACATGAAGGACACAGGATCATTGTTGGGATACACTAGGGCCACACGGTCTCCAGGCATGACCGTTCCTTCACCTCGACCTCCTAGGCGGGTCAAGAGGTTGTATGCCATTTTCTGAGACCTGCTCAACAATTTCCCTGTTGAAAAAAAAATACAATTATTCAGTCAAATAATTATTCACTAAATATATACTTTCATACCAGCTGAAAAAAAAAAAAAAAAAAAAAAAAAAAATCTGGATCATAGTTGACATGAAATATAGGTTGCCTTGAACAAGGTTCAAAAATTAAAGGTTTGTTTTACAAATCAAACAAAATTTTAACCTGAGGTAAAACTTCATGTGATGGTAACTCACCAATTTTTCATTACTTACATGAGACTGACATAAATTAATGACTTATGCCTTTTATATAGAATATAGTACAGAAGTAGAGTTACAACCATTGTATCACAGGTCTAACAGGTCAGCATTGTAAACTACATCTTGATATTATGTGCACTTACCATATGTGAGTGAGACAGACAGTTTTCCATTTGCATCTAGGATAGTTGCAACTGGGGCTTTATACCCAGAGGAAGACCCATATCGGTATACTGCATCTTCTACTGATCGTGGGAGACCTGCTGGTATCTGAAGGAAATAAAGAGCAGATACTTAGTTGCAGTTTATCACCCTCAATATAATCTATTCACAAAGAATTTTGGAAGGCTGAAGCATAAATCTAGAATTAAACTGACAAATTTGCTTCTTATTGTATTTACATATCTTAATGTTAAAAATATGTTCCATATCAGTTAAACTAAATGAGAACAATAATTCTGTGGTTGATAAATGGCAATACATTTTAGTCCTAGAACAAAACCACCTTGAGTTTTCACATGCAAACAAGTTTTTTACGGACTGACTTACCACTAACTGTTCTCCGCGGGCAGGTGTCATGACCATACCCTCAGGCTTGGGAGCATTTGGGTCTTTAGGATTGGCAGCAATTTCCAAGTCTTCCTCATCATCAAGGTAAAATTCTGGTAAGGGTCGTCTCTTTGGTCTCTTTAAGGTATTGAGGAGTTGCTGGATTTTACTGGACACTTTCCAACGCCCCGTTCCTCGCCAGTTTTCTGGAAAATTATAGAGAGCGTCTCGCCATCCGTCTGTTTGACAGAGCAGAAAAGGCAACAGAGACAGCCCGAAAGCAATGCCTAGGGTTAGTCTTAAGAATCCAAACCAAACCACCTATTAGATGGGACAGGCACAGTAAGCACAAGAAGATATTTTCTATAAAAAAGCTAGGTTAGGAAAGTGATTATGTTCTGCATTTTACACTTAGCTTGGATAAAAATTTAAGGGTCCCATTTCACCTCAGAGCACACATTAAAGCAGTTAATCCTCACTACCTCTTCATAAAAAGGAAAACAAGCACCAAAAACAAACCAACAATTATTTACATTTAAAGGAGAAAAAACCCACAGAAAAATATAAGTTAAATTCCAATCACTCTTAAGACAATAGTGTAAATGTTCTTTTTTAACATATGTGCATATTAGTTTTATATCACAGCTTGCACATATAATGAGTTATAAGTTTCCAGGAAGTATTATGTAATTTCCCCATGCTCCCAAATATTTAAGGTAGAGAGAGAGTGGGGGGGGAGAGGAGAGAGAGAGAGAGAGAGAGAGAGAGAGAGAGAGAGAGAGAGAGAGAGAGAGAGAGAGAGAGAGAGAGAGAGAGAGAGAGAGAGAGAGAGAGAGTGTGGTGTTTTTGTTTGTGTGTGGTGTGTTTATTTGTGTGTGGTGTGTTTATTTGTGTGTGGTGTGTTTGTCTGTGTGTGGTGTGTTTGTTTGTGTGTGGTGTGTTTGTTTGTGTGTGGTGTGTTTGTTTGTGTGTGGTGTGTTTGTTTGTGTGTGGTGTGTTTGTTTGTGTGTGGTGTATTTGTTTGTGTGAGGTGTGTTTGTATGTGGTGTGTGTGTGTGTGTGTGTGTGTGTGTGTGTGTGTGTGTGTGTGTGTGTGTGTGTGTGTGTGTGTGTGTGTGTGTGTGTGTGTGTGTGTGTGTGTGTGTGATTATCTCAGAATTAAAATTCAAACAGTGAATAAATGTCATGCATCATTAATTCTGGAAGACCAATCCCTGCGGGGAAAAACTGCAACAGAAATTACTGAAGAACGGCTTCCGGCTGAAACAATACTCTATACTCTAGGAATTCCATGTAACCTGTACAAGCACAAATAAGAATCCACATCCCATGACACCAATCAAATCCGGAGTGATCTTGCTTGATAATCTGATATAATGAAGTAGAATCGTGAGCGTCATCAGCTTACCAGCATCAGAGGATGATTGTCTGCCGGGAGGAGGGCCAGAGTAGCGAGCGATGCGATCATCTCGGGGAGCTCGGTTGTTGCCTCCTCCTGTATTGTTCGTCACGTCCGGTGGTTGAGAAACTGTGGTGTCGAAAAGTAAGCATTATTTCCTTTTATTTGAGAAAATTCTCTTGCAAATTCAGCTATAGGGTATTCTCTCCCTACTTTTAATACTGAAACTATAAATCACATCAAAAAGGAATCACACACTGTAACTCTATAGACATATAATTCATGTTTACTATCTATGGATTGTACATTTGTACTTGATAAAGTAGACATTAGTAAGAGTAAAACAGACAAGAAACTTTAACTTACATGAGGTTATATTACGCATTAAATCAGTCATTTCTGACATTTCACGTCTCCTGCGTTCATCTTCATCTCCATTACAAAGACGATTGCTGTAAGACAATATGTTTTTAGTGGATACTTGGAAACTTCATTAAAATTTTGAAAGTATAATCAAGTATGAAGAATGAAACAACTTTGAACTCCACTACATCAACATTTTTATATACAGTACCTATATCCATATGGGATCAGTGCTTAATGAATTTACCTTATGCATTACAAATAAAGTAAAAATATCTACAATAACTATCAAGGATAATGAATATACACAC